CCCCAAAACCCCAAAACCCCAAAACCCCAAAACCCCAAAACCCCAAAACCCCAAAACCCCAAAACCCCTTTACCTTTCTGTCAGATTGAAATAAAAAAACTGTTAAAATCTTTGAAATATTTTAACAAAATTCTTCAAAAATCGTAAATCAACTGGACTATAAAAGAAAGGAAATTTTAAGAAGTTAACAAACAAATTTAATGAAAACTCAAACATCTCTAACCGATAAAAAGTATAAAACTGAGCCTAATACTTCCAAAGAAGCAAATACAGATAATTCTTCGGGCTATAATCTTCGCAAGAGAAGAAGAAGCTATGAGAATAGGGTCCAAAATAATCAGGCTACACTTAAGAAAGAGTCAAGTTCTCCTGGACTAACTTCAAGAAAGGAAATAAAAGAGGAATATAAAAGGGAATATGACAGGCAAATGAGTTCTCTGGATAAAGTTAGCCAGTTTAATCCTCATAAGAGAATCAAGAGAGATCATGATGAAGATTATAGAAGTGATAAAAGACTTGAATACTCTCATTCAACGTCTAAAAGACAAGGAAATTATAGTCATCATTACACACCTTCCTTCCTGGTCCCATGCCTCAAGAGCTGTCCTCCTCGTAAGAAGGGAGGAGAGGAAGAGACTAGGATCCTTGAAGGAGGTAAAATTAGAAAGAAGATATATCTCCCTCGTAAAAACGGAGTTAACTACATCGGCCTCTTGATTGGTCCAAGAGGAATGTACCAGAAAAAGCTTGAAGAAGATTCTAACTGTAAAATTCTTATCAGAGGAAATCTTCCTTTACTCAGAAGAGGTAATAGAGAAGGTCCTTATAAAGCTGAGGATAATGATCACGAACATGTGCTCATCATCACTGACAACAAAGAAAATTTAAAATCAGCAGAGGATCATATCAAGAAGATCATTAATGCCACTGAAGAAGAGAGAGACCAGATCAGGAAAGATCAGCTAAAGGCTGCTCTAAAGATCAGTCAGTCTGTCTACCAAGAGTTGGATGAATCTCTTCTTACCCCATATGGTCCTCCCAGTCCTTTCGCTCACATCATTCCTGTTCCAAATGAATGTGTTGGCCTGATCATTGGCAGAGGAGGAGAAACCATTAGGCATCTTCAAGTAGAATCTGGAGCAAAGATCCAGGTTGCCAAGAAAGAAGTTGAGAATACAAGCATGAGAAATGTCTTTATTGAAGGCCCTCCTGAGAAATATGAAAAAGCAAGAAAATTAATCGAAGATGTAGTTGAAGAGCACAAAAAACTTCATGAAAAGAATGGAATGAAGGATAGGTCTGCTCTTCAAGGTGATCCTATAAAGTTTGAAGTTCCTCAGCACCTTATCGGCCTTATCATTGGCTTTAGAGGAGATACTATTCACTCGATTCAAAGCAGGACAAGGACTACTATCATTGTTCCAAAAGATTCTAAATATTCCAAAAATTCTGTAGCAAAATCAGAACACGCTTCACAGAAAAATGCTATAGTTGAAATCTACGGAAGCACCTCCAACTGCTGCAAAGCTCAAAGAGAGATCAAGAAGATCATTTCAAGTATCGAATCCAGCCGGAGAAGCCATAGAAACCCATATCCTAACTCAAGAAGATACCACAGCACTAGTGCTCGTGTGCCATTAAAGTCAGAATCAAGAATTGAGCTCAACTCAGAAGACAAGTCTACAGGTTTGCATGAAAAATAATTTATAGTAATCCAATTAAAACTTATTTTAAAGGGGTTTTGGGGTTTTGGGGTTTTGGGGTTTTGGGGTTTTGGGG